GTTTCAATTAAATTAAACAGAAGCTGATGTAGTTGGTACTACAGTCTGTTCGGCATGATAATAAGATGCCAGACAATTATTGTTGAATGAGTGATTTGTCCCAACATCCATAACCAAAAGCCAGTTAAAATTTATTGATTCAGCTAGACTCTCGCAGGAAGTGTTTAAATCAAAATTTCATCACAATATCACACAACTACAAATTACAAAACACCACATCAACCCAAGGCCGTATAAATGACAACAGCGGGGTGTCTGGCAATCTTCACCAATACTTGTCTGAGGATTTTAGCCTCTAAGGCAGTTTGATATTAACCTTTGGGCTTCTTTAGAGCCTAAAAAAGATCATTGGCTGCACAGAAATGTCTTTTAGATCGACAAAACCTTGACACCCCATGATGTCATCTATCTCCTGAGCCCATGCTATGTGGTTGCATATAAACGTAAGCCCCTCCATCAACCATTGAGATTTGAGAGATCATAAATCTGAGCATAGGCATCAAAACATAATGCTTATCCTTTCATAGTGCAACTTAAGAACCACTGATCAGTTGCTTTGCAGAATATTCACCAAAAACTATTAAAAATGTATCCAGCTCCAAACTGGAACAGACTATCTGCAGCACTGCTCCCTGATTTGGCACTGGCATTAGTATAGCACACATGAATCAGACCATACCTAGTGCCAGCATGACCAGCCTATTTGTGTGCAAGGCGTCTAGGACAAAAACTGTTAACCATGAAGTTATCACATTTACTGATAATTTGAGCATTGTAAAGGGAAAAGGGCATGAAAAAATGAAATGCTACAAAAAAAAATGCCCAGCAAAAAAGGAAGCCATCCACAAATTAGGTTTGCTTGTTTTCAAACTGCATATTGAATTGAATTATTGAATTATTGATTCGAATTATCCCACAATTATCCTTACCCAGCTCTGCCATATACCCACTCAATCAGTAAGGAATAATGGAAGTTACAGCCTGACTACACCATGCGTTTTCTGCATGTGTTTTTCGCGAATTTGCATGTTTTGCAGAATATCGTTCTAGAAAAAGTTATTATAAATAAACCTTAAATATCTATATACAAGTTAATAAAATGTGTATATCAATTAATCACAGAAGGGATCACAGAAGAGCCAGGATCACAGAAGGGAATGCGCTTCCTCCTTCTGTGATCCTGGCATCCACTCTCAACCAGTTCAAGGCCAGATTGGACGATCACTGGAACCGAATCAAATACTTCATCCCAGATTAGTATCCACGAGAGTCCTCAGTTCAGGAGCTCGATGCGAGCGGGACCCTACAGGCCATAGTAGCCATCAAAATTCCCATATTGGTAAGGTAAGGTAAGGTAAGGTAATTAAAACTTTATATGAAAAACATAACAAAAACGTAATGTCAATTCTTTCTACAACAATATTCCACAAATCACGCACTCGCAAAAAACACATGCAGAAAACGCACAGTGTAGCCCGACCCCCACCGGACACGATTTGGTAGCCGAGGTCTGTGACGTCAGCCGGGCGTGAAGTTTTCCCTTCACCATAGGCTTAACACACAAACTGGCTGAAGTTCATGCCAGGATAGCCCGGCCTGAAAGTGCAAAAATGATTAAATTTTGCCCTCGTTAGCTTCATTGCTTCATTTCATAACTAAAAACGTCAGTTATTAGGCCTCAATGAAGGTACAAAGTACTCAAAATCGAAGTTCAAGAAGATGCTGTCCGAGCACAATTTGGTAACATCACGTGACCTCTTTTCAACAGATTGTATATATTTTAGGAATATAATTACACGATTGCTGCCTAAGACATCATAAATAATACACGTGTAACATTTATTAGGTACTAAAGTTTTAGTCATAACATTGCAAAACGCAAAGTTTATCATGGCAGTCACGTGACCAAAGGTATAGCATGGGTTGGGACAGACACTCACAGGATTTCATGTTTTGTAATTAATTTATATAAGTTTCATGATGAAATTGAAAGATTGTATTTTTTCCTAATAGAACACAAATTTTCGTTTGTAAAATATTTTTCTTATAGGCGAAATTCTCCATTTAAGAAACGTCTGTGACGTCACCAGGGCTTTACTGTGGCTTTACTCAAAACATCGGACCTACCTGTTTCTTATAGGTATCTTGGTGTAGCCAGCGTGTCCGGACAAAATTTCGTCTGACATTTTTTCGTCGGACAGTTTTTCGTCCGCAGATTTTCGTCCGACGTTTTTTCGTCTCGCATTTTTTCGTCTGTACATTTCTTCGTCTGTGCATTTTTTCGTCTGTACATTTTTTCGTCTGTACATTTTTTCGTCCGGACATTTTTTCGTTCGTACATTTTTTCGTCTGTACATATTTTCGTCCGGACATTTTTTCGTTCAATAAATTTTACGTCTGTGCACCCAAGGTTGAGTGAAAACATACTACAATGCTATTCAACTGTGAGGCAAATTACGTCATAATAATACTCGGGGCGAAGCAGTGCAGTGCCGAAGGCAATGCCTTAGGAGAGATTACAGGCAATGGTAAGTCAAATATTTTTAGGTTAAGTGGTTGTGTATCTGGCTTCGGCCTGAAGCCTGATGCATAACCACTTAACCTAAAAATATTTGACTTACCATTGCTTGCAATCTATTCATGCAAGTAACTTTTTCCTTATCCCCCGGTAGGCAAACATCAGTAGGTAAGGTTAGGTTAGGTTAGGTTAGGTTAGGTTAGGTTAGGTTAGGTTAGGTTAGGTTACGTTAAAATTGTAGACGAAAAAATTTCCGGACGAAAAAATGCACAGACAAAAAATATACAAACGAAAAAATGTCCGGACGAAAAAATGTACAGACGAAAAAATGAACAGACGAAAAAATGCACAGACGAAAAAATGTACAGACGAAAAAATGCGAGACGAAAAAAAGTAGGACGAAAATCTGCGGACGAAAAATTGTCCGACGAAAATCTGCTGGACGAAAAACCGTCATGGAATCTGTAGCCAGGCCTTTACAGGCAGTACACCTTTTTCCATATATCCAAGACTTCAAGACTTGATATTGCAAAGCACTGATTCCCTATCTTTTGATAGCATTCTACTAACTTGCTAATATCAACTACGATTAATTTCCACCTCAAGAATTCCAATTTAATTGCTTAAAATGATTCCTGCTATTCGGTAGTCTGTAGTTTGCCCCAGCTAGATGTAAAAACGTGTGCCTAACCGAATCGAAGAGAAAGAATAAAACATCATAAGACTAATACATGGAAAAAACGGCTGAAGACGTCTTCAACAATAAATAAACGAACAAATTCATGAAGAACATACCTCTCCTGGACCACCACAATCGTAAAAGGAAGTTGACAGCCTGTTTCCAGAGTTAGCAAGTGTAGTAATATATTTCTGTTTATTTCTTTCGCTAGGGATTTTTAATCATATATGCTATGTTTGTAAAAAACTGGAAATTTTAATTTATTAAATTTAGAATTGAAATTAAAAAAAATAAAAACACCTCCCTTGCATGAAAATTAAGTAAATATCTTTTCATGGAATGTAGTAAAATACTGATATGTCACTATAATGTTTTACTTGGGTATATTTGTGAAAACTCTATCTACCTAAATTTGGTACGGACTTATCTTTCCAGAAGAGCGAGCCCGATAATCGCTCTGCAGCCTCGGGAAAATCCAGGAAGATCAAAAGTTAGTTTTCATCCCTACTAAAACAAACCAAAAATATGTCGATATCGCGAGATCGGTACTTAAAGGAAATAGTTCACTTTTAACATGGGGTTTTGAGCTGGAACAGCAGTTTCGTAGCTTGAGCTGAGACTAGCACAAATCAAGAGCTTTTACGGCTCAACGATCACCCTAGACGAAGATATTCCATTTCTCGTTCCGAAAAGAGTGCCTTGCAGAGGAATGTGTGCCTTGCACAGGAATGCAGCCACGTCATCGTCAGCCAATCAGCATGCTGCTTACAGCTAATGCAGCATGCGTAGGTTTGAACTACGCAACAGTGACGTACCCAAGGGGGGGCCCCTCAGGCCCCGGTATATTTTTTCAAACACTGGATAAAACGTCTTTTACTAGGAAGAAAAAATGATATCAAAGTTTCATTTATGTGCCCCTGGTTACCCGAGGGGCCCCTGATGACCCAATGGGCCCCTGCAGTCATCCGAGGGCCCCCGGTTTCCTGGGCCCCTGGTAGCCGGGGCCTGGTCGCATGGGGGCCCCTGATTGCCTGGGGTCCCTAGTCACCTAGGGGGCCCTGTTAGCCGGGGGGCCTAGTCGCATGGGGGCCCCTGGTCGCATGGGCCCCTGATCGCCTGGGGCCCCTAGTCGCCAAGGGGGCCCCTGGTAGCGGGGGCCTGGTCGCATGGGGGCCCCTGGTTGCCTGGGACCCCTGAGGGCCCCTGGTCGCCTGGGCGGCCTGGGGGCCCCCGGGTGACCTGAGGGCCCCTTCGGAAGCAGGTGGCCCCCTCCTGGGCGAAATCCTGGGTACGTGCCTGCTACGCAATATGATTGGTCAACGCGTAATAAGCTTCCGCGTCATACATTATTTTACATAGAATATAGTTCGTCCTATATTAAAATATAAAAAATAATTGCTTTTACAAAAAGGTTTTATTTTATTTTCTGATCATTTTGGGCATAAAAAATCGTATATCCATAGCAAAATACTAATTTCAGGAAAGTGAACTGTTTCCTTTAAACACCACCGTGTCAGAGGCAGAGCTGCCATTTTCCTCCGATCCCCTCCCAGGAACATCAAGGCCCAAGCAACATTTGCTGTCGGCTAGCAAGCAAAGGCAGCACGCAACCCTCCTCTCGCTCAAAATCTTTCTCTATCATAGGTAGTAGGTATAGGTAGGTACTAGGTAGGTATAGTGAAAAACCAACTAAAAAAAGATGCACCGTGTCGTGTCTGACATCGGTCTCATTTTAGTGAGTTTCTTAAATCGGCTATAACTGCGTTGCTGTTGTGGACAATGAACATGCATCTCATTCCTGACTGTGTATATCTTCTTCAGTCCTCACAAACACAACAATACCTATACCTACAAATGTGAACTATATGCGAAATGGAGGCACTGAGTTCGTGCTTCGTCATCGAGACCACCGTACGGCGCTCTTGGAATCGTGTTTGCATCTTTTTGTTATTATTTTCCCTGTGGAGTGAGCCGTGAGGTGAGCCGGCCAACCTAACCGGTCCAGCCCCGCCCCGCCGCGCCGGCCGGCCGCGGGGGCGCCGGCGGCGGAGTCCGGTCTCGCCAGTGTAGCTCGAGCAGCGGACGGTGGTGCTTCAAGGTGCTCGAGGTGCCGCCGCCATGCGAGGCGCGGCGCTGCTGCTAGCTGGACTCCTTTGCATTCCCGGTGAGTACCCGGCGCCTGCTCGTCGGATGCTGGAGGTGGAATAGAGGTCGTAAGATGGTAAGACCTAAAAACTTATTCCCGGTCACGAAATGATAAAAGGTTTCACTTGTCCACGATCTCGCTAACCGGTTTAGCGGTGTGACCGCGCAGGGACCACGGTGACGGTCGGTGGGAGTGACGTGTGTAGCCGGGTCAGTAGGGCGGCCCTGGGGTGCTGTTGACGTTGGGCTGATGCCAGGGGACGGGACGCACCTGAGGCAGTGCCCGTGGCCGGAGCCGTCGCGTCGGTCGGCCGCGCCGCGCGATTCTGGGTCGCCACCGGGTGCAGGCGGGCGTGGCCTTGGAGGCGGCGTGGCTCGTCCGACGATGAGGTGTCCGCTCAGGCCTCAGCCCTCAGGTGGCGCCGACGGGGCGCGGATTTACCTCCTGCCTCGGGAGGACCGTGCTGTTCCGTTGGGACATGTCATGCTTTATTACGGAGCGAGCGAAGCGAGCGTAGTCTTTCCTTAGATTAAAGGAACCTCCCACCTTCAAAAAAGTTAATGAATTGGCACGAAAGTGATGTCGCTCGGTTCAGAAAGAGCGAAAACGAATATCTACCAAATTTCATCGAAAAATAATCACCGGTTTTCAAGATATTAGACTTTTACTTTTGTTTACTTTTTGGGATCTCCGCTGTTCCTAGCGACTTTATTTGAAAGTGCGGCATTTGTTGCGCGCAAAGCAGCATATACCACCGCGTGCTACCAAACGTTTTAGTAAAAGATTTAAAAATCGTTAGATCTCCGCTGACGTCACAAATTCTAAGGGGGCATACCAATGCACTAGCCCCTTAGAATCCGAAAACTGCAAGTTTGAAATTCCATATCTCCGAATTAAAGCATTTGTCGATGTTGTGAGTGCCCAAACCGGTATTTGCAGGCCATGGCCACCAATTTGGCTATCTCAACTCAAAACTAATGTTAAGGTGGGAGTGTCCCTTTAACGGAAATTTCTGAGCATGAGCGGCCGGCCGGCCGGCACCGGCCGGCCGGCCGTGGTCACGCTTTTGCGAGGCTTATATCTCAGCAACCACTTGACCGATTTACATGCGGTAATTTTTGTAGGGTAGCTTCATTCCTTCTACCAAGTATTGGACTATTCCCGTTGTATGTGAGTGGCCCCTTATGCACGTGCCACGCAGGGGCGCGGGAACTACTTTCCGACTGGGGGGGGGCACACCATGATAGAGATCAACCTAGGGTACCCCAAATCTAGTTTTCTCACCGGTTTTAGGCCACTTATTTTTCACCCCTCTGCTTTTTCAACAAAAAAAGAAAACATTTGCAAAAAAAGTGTGGTATTCCGTCTCAAAGCTGTGGGGGCACCGCCCCCATGGCCCCAAAGTTGGGGGGGGGGGCAAGCTGCCCCCACTGCCCCCCGGCTCCCGCGCCTATGGTGCCACGTGCAAAACGAAGAGGTGTCACTTTTGTAATAGTTGCAATATCTCGGTAACTACTGGGCCGATTGCGCTGAAAGTTGGCATGTAGGTAGGCACCCACTAGGCAATGCATATCCATGTGCCAGAGTTGGGGTGCTGCTGCACGTGCGCACGTGCAGGGGTCGATTCCAGATCTCGAGAACGGCTGGACCGATTGCGCTCAAATTTGGTACACGGTTACGGAGCAGTTAGTAGGGTGCCGTGCACAAGTCAGTTGGGACCCATTTTGCACGTGCGCACGTGCAGGGTGCCGCTTCCAGATCTCGAGAACGGCTGGGCCGATTGTGCTCAAATTTGGCACATCGCTAGAGACCGGTTAGTAGGGTGCTGTGCACAAGTCAGTTGGAGGTACCCCCTCGCAATTTCGCACGTGCAAGGCCCACCCTCTCGCTCGCTCCGTTAGTCGCCCCAAAAGGCGTTATACTGGTTTATGTAGTTCAGTTAGGTACTGTCGATGTCACTGATCGGAACGTTCTGCCAGCGGAACTCAAATTTGCATGGCGTACGCACCCCGCTGTTAGACGTAATACGTTCTGTTGGGTGTGGGCTTTTATTTATACTTTCGTGGTCACTGCAGATATATCGTCATATGAAATCAAAGCAGTTTCATTCATTATCATATATTCGTGGTTCGTGTTAGTGTAGTAAGCGCTTAGGTACATATGTCTTCTCGCAGTTAACACGCGCCCCCGTTGGGCTGTTGGCGGACCCTACCTTCACTCAATAGTCAATATACCCTGGACCCTACCACCCGTTGGGGGGAGGGGGCGTTTCACCCCCCACCCTCCCCCTTAGATCTCGGAAAGTTACCGACTGATTTTGAAATTTCAAACGGCATGCAATAGCACCACCACAAGACTACCTTGTGCGCACGTTAAACTTTGGACTCTAAATTCTGCCATAGAACTGGAATTGCGCGATGGGAAGGTGGAGGGCAGGGTTACCGCAACAAGCTTCGCTTAGCGGTGGCTCTTCCTTGTGAATCCTTCCTATCAAAAGGTTCGGACTAAATTTATATAAAAAATATCTGCTATACCTACTTTGGGAGATATCGACTGAAAAGGAGAGGGGGCCGTTTCGCCCCCCGGGCCCCCCTCACGGGACGCAGGAGCCGTTTCGGATAAAAAGGCTCATGTTCGTGTAAATCGGTGAGGTTTGATCGGTATGCACTGAAAAAACTTACTCCCCATTTTCTAATTTTAGAATGCCAAAAAGCACTCCTGCAATCGAATAATTTTATGACCTGGCATAAGCGCCTAAAATGGGGAGTTTTGGGGAATAAAACTAGCATATAGAATATATTTAGTATCCGAACGCTTATATTATTCGTGCTAGGGAGTAATTTTATGGCGGAGGATAAAAGTATGCTATCTTTGGATAAAATTACACCAGATGATAATTTTATTAACTTAACCCTATTAGTGGCATTCTCCTGGCTACCCCCTATTAGTGGCAGGGGGGGCTGTTTACGACCCCCCCTTGATATCTCGAGATCTAACGGGCCGATTTTCAAAATTCAAACGGCATTCGATTGCGCTCAACGTGATCTACATTTCTAAAAAATAAAAATTAAAAAATGTCAATAGGGGGGTTGAGGGGGGTAAAAACGGGCAAATTGCAGATACATTTTAGACTGTTTATCACGGCCAGGTTTCTAAACCAATCTTAACGCAACTTTTGCCGATCGATAGAGAATGAACCAGGAATTCACATGGATCCTAAAAATATGCATTTTCAAAAATCATAGGCGGATACAGATCATTGAGATTGGGGGTACACAAAAAGTATAGTAAATAAGGTTTTTGTTGGTACTGTTTCTAAAAAGGGTGGTAATGGTCTTGTTTTGTTACAATTTTCTTATGAGAGAACGACTACAATTGTATTGGTCATGCATAGGCGGTGTCAGGGCACCTATGTTGGGAGGTAAAACATAACCTCCCTTTTTGGACGCCTGGATCCGCCTATTATAGCAAAAACGTGTCAAAAGAGGATGCACAATAACTGTATATGTTATCACATGATACCTTTCATTCACTGTTCGTAAAACTGGTGCAGCATCGTGATCTTCGCCCAAATGACTCGCTTCACGAATAGGACCCCCCAATTCCCAGTGCTCTGGAGCCGCCCCTGGTAAAGGTATGAACTTGAAATTTTCAGGGAATGTGCCCAATTTAGTTTTAGGAAAAGTCAGAAAATTTCAGCATCGTAGCTTGAGCGGTTTCGGAGATATTCCCGAAAAACCTGAGGGGTGGATAAAAACAACCCCCCCCCCCTGCCACTAATAGGGTTAACACTAAAATTACTCCCATTCGGGGAATAATATTGCCATGCCAAAAAGCACTCCTTTTTTCGATAATTTTACCCCGGAGTAACTCCCCGGTAAAATCAAGCCCCGGTGTAAAAGTACCACCCCTGATAATGCGGGGTGATGTGATAATATTATGACCAAGTGTAAAATAAGGAATGCATTTAAACAATGTATTGAAACATCAACAATTGATTAACGAATGGTACCTGAGCATCAGCAGGTACATCTTAGTTTGGACGCACTTCCAGTGATGGCGCATTGCGGCCAACAGGGACGTAATTTTGCTTCCTACACTGTAAAAAAAGTTTAGTATTTGGGGTACTAACGGCTGCTATTCGTAGCACCTTTTAGCGTCAAAAGAACCCTACGACGTATTTACAAAGAAGCATGGTGCTAATACTGTGCTAATTATAGCTAACATTCCCATCAAATATTATAAGTTTAGATCACCTATTCTTCTACTGAGCTTAACGTCTACTTCTGCTAGTACCCAGTCCATAAGTGAGTGCTCTTTCAAGCTGGATTTCTAATTAGAACCATTTTAAGTGTTTTAGAAGTTGGTAATGCTGAATATGGTGCTTACGTTAGTATCACAATAGAACCGGACATGCTTACAGAGGAAACAAATTTGAAATTGGCGCCAAAGAAAGTAGCTAAGCCCTGCTTTACAAATCTCTGGGAGTCTTATCACCAGCCCTTTAGCACGTTTTGACGGCGCAGAGCGATATGCGCATGCGCGTGCCAGCTGTTTCCGGCCACGTGTTGCGCCATTTTAGTGGAGTCCGTTGGTCGTGGTGGGAGTGTGTGCACGTGCTCCGGTATATGCAGTGAAATGAAGTGAAGTGAAGTGCTCCGGGCACATGCCACCGAGTGATAGCTCTGGAATGATAGCTTAAATCAGCTATTATCGGTGGAATCCGTCGTGCGTGGCATGGGAGTGCGTGCCCCTGCTCCGGGAGGCAGTGAGGTGGAGGGAAGTGCAGTGCAGCAGTGCAGTGAAGTGAAGTGAAGTGCTCCGGGGCCGGGTGGTACATGAGCATTTGCCACCGACATATGCCACCGACACCGACGTTGATCGACTTTGGTGAGTCTGACACGTTGTATCTTTTGACATTATCTTATATTGTGTTAGTGCTTCATATTCCGACTTTGGCAAATTGCGCTTCTTGGTCTGAAGGAAAGTTGTGTTGTTTGCGAAAAAAACTCCCAACA